CACATCAGTTCTCTGAAATTCCCTCATTATCTCTCCCTAGCTCAAATGAAAGCTGTACTCCTGTTGTGATGATCACCCCTTTTTTTCTGTGTATCAAAGGGGCCCTGGATAGGGCCGGCCTACAGGAGACCCAGTATCCAAGAGGGGGACTAAACTTTTACCAACTTTGGCAATGCTGCAGTCTCATCCCCGCTCAAGTCTATTAACAACTTAGGGGTGGTTGAGTGTTGTGACCTTTGTAATGATTCACAATAACTGGTAGTTTTGGTTCCCATCCAAGATGCCTCCTTCCTTGCTCGATCAAGATATCTGGGCAAAGACCCACTTTCACCAAGGTGATGCAAGGAGGATGAAGGTGATCGAGATGGAGATGGAGATGGAGATGGTGATGGAGGTGATGATGACGAAAATGATGGAGACGGTGAAGAAGATGCAGATGGTGGAAAAGGTGAAGAAGAAGCTCGATATGGTGGAGATGGTGAGGAAGATGGTGAAAAAGGTGAAGATGATGATAAAGACGGTGGTGATGATGAAGAATATGATGGAGATGGTGAAGACGAAATAGATGGTGGACAAAGTGAAGGTGATGTTAGAGACGGAGGTAATGATGAAGAAGATGATGGAGATGGAGGTGATGAGGAGGAAGATGATGGAGGAAGATGATGGACGAGATGGTGGAAAAGGTGGAGAAGATGTTGGAGATGGTGCAGATGATGAAAACGGTAAAAAAGTTGATGGAGATGATGGAGATGAAGGCGGTGATGATGGAAAAGTTGAAGACGAAGATGGAGATGGTGGAAGTGTTACGGACTCATCCAGGGCTCGATCCCTGGTCCGCGGGTTACCACCCGCCAGGCTGCTATTTTATTTTTGAGTCTCTGTTCTCCGGTTCCTGACTGTTGGCGCCCTCTGCAGTTGGTGCCCTCTGCAGTTGGCGCCCGTTCTCAAATCCTTCCTCTGGCACTTTCGGATTTCGATACTTGGTGCCATCCGGCATTCTGGCGTCCAGGCTCAGACCTTCGATTTTCAGTTCAGCCCCGAGGCAAATTGCACTTCTGCCCTCGGGACTCAACTTGAGTCGGGTACTTAAGACCAGACTCAAGCTGAGTTCGGGAATTCAGTTTTCCGCCTCAGTGCTTGTGCTTCAGTGTGACTTGCTAGGACATTGGGCCTCGTTCCACTACCCTCGACTTGAAAAAAAACTCAAGGGCAGCCCTACACGCGCCCTTGTTCCTAAACGTAATTAAAAAATACTAGACGTCAGCTTCGTTCCACTACACCCTACAGTTCCCGCTCGCAAAAGGGGCGGGAACACGTGCTGCACCGTGGTTGGGTCAAAAAAAACGGACGGGGGTACCTGGCGGCGCATGTTGGCGCCGTTTTCAAGGAAGGTCGAGGAAAAACCAGTCGGCTGTGGGAGGTGACTTGAAATTTGCCTGCGGACCCTACGGCCTCCTTTCAGTTTCGGAGCGGGAGTTTAACCAGGCGGGAACCCTAATCACTTTACAATTGTGATTAGCAAGTTGGCGCCGGTCTCAAGGGCCTAGTGGAACGGCGCCGCCCTTGAGATTTTTTCAAGTCGAGGGTAAGTGGAACGAGGCCCAGTGTGTTTGGAACCCAAGATTGCGACTTTGCGACTTTGCCACTTTGCCACTTTGTGTCTGCGTCTGTCGAGTCGTGTCGAGTCTGCATCGAGTTGAGTGAGCGTGTGTGTGTACTCTCACTCTCCCTCTCTCTACCAGCCTCGCTGCTCTGCCTCAGCCCCGTCACACTGGTATCGGAGCGGCAAACGGCCCTCCCTCCCTCACTGTTCTGGCACTGCCACGTCATCGACATCGTCCTCCACCACCGCCACGTCGTCGCCATCGTCATCATCGCTGCCATGTCAGCGCCTCGTACCTGCCGTCGTTGCTATCGCCATGTCAGGAACTCCTCGTCCTCGTCATCGCTGCCACGTCGTTGATCCCGAAGCCGACGCGCAGGCAAGTGACCAGCAAATTTTTATTTTTCTTTTTTTTCTTCTTTCTTCTCCCCCTCGTTTCTTCTTCTTCTTGTTGTTCTTTTTCTTCCTCTTGTGCTTCACTATCGTCGTCATCATTTTCTCTTTCCCCCTCCTC